TGATCATGTAACATTACATATTTACTCTATCAATAAAGATCATGAGAAGTGTTTCACCTTAACATCAAAAAAAAAAATAATTATATACCAATTTTTTAAATATATCTAGTTTAACTATCAACAAATAAATAATATCAGATTTGATAATAATGATTATATTGATCTTTTGAAGAGGATAAACTATCTGTCCTTTTTTTATAAGGCTATAAGAGAGAGAAAAATTCTAAAATTTATATCTTAAAAGAAGTTATCACTTCTAACTATAATCTTTAAGAAAAAAAAATTAATTGGCTAAAGAAATAATGTTATGAAAGTGAAGTTTATAAAAGAAAGAGAGGTCTAAAAAGAAAATCTTCAAGAAAAAGAAAAAACCTAACTTTAGCAGAAAAAGAAAAAAAAAAAGAGAAGGGATGGAATAAATAAAAAAATATATAAAAGAAAAAGGAGAAATAAAGAGATATGGAAAAATAAAGAGATATGGGAAAATAAAAGAAAAAAAAAAGCAAAAAAAGTAAACAACTCAAAAATTTCCTAAAAAGTAAATTTTTAAGCACAGGAGAAGTGGAAAAGATTTTTTTTTAATTTCTTTTTATATTTTTTTAATAATTAATTAAAAATATTATTTTTTATATTATTTTTTATATTTTTAATAATATTTTTTTGATTTTATTTAATATTTGTTTATAAAACTATTATATAATTATTAATAAAATACTAATATCTTTTTTATAATACAATAAAAAATATTCTTTTATTATTAAAAAAATTTTTGTCAAATTTTATCAAAAAATAAATAGCTTGATTAATATTAAGTCTAAAAAAATTATAAAAAAACTATTTTAAAGTTTTATTAATCTATATCAAATTAATTTATGCATTGAAATAATTTTAATAATTATTTATTATTTTTTTGTAATTGCAAAAAAATTAAAATTTTTAAATTATCTTTTTTTTAATTATAATTTAAAAATATTATTTTAATATATTTATAAGTTTTTTTATATATATCCATTCATTATACTTTCAATTATATATATATATACAGTGTGTTGCAAAACTTTTTATTTATTGAATTATTAATTAAAATATAATTATAAAAAATTATCATTTTTTTTGCACCATAATGTATATTATATACTGTACATAAATGAAAATATAATTCAAACACCATTAAATTTTCAGATCCAATGAGTTGTGTACTCGAACAGAGATATTTTTAAGACATCTATCAGGTCTTGCAAACTCAAAATTGTGTGATAAAGATCCAAGTTATTATTTTTCCAACTATTTACAATTAACATACCTATACAATTACTTATTCGTCTTATTCAAGATGACTTTTATCATTCTCGAACCAACCACATTGCTTACAGAAAACCTAACATGACAGTATTATTCTCATTATAATCTCGTGCATCGCCAAGTACATAATAGACTAGCAACCAGTCATACCTGGGTTCGAAAAACTTTGCAGTGTCCTCGAATCGTTTTTGGTATGTCACCATATTACCAATTTCAATACACTCCGCCCATCCTTTAGATGCACTGTAGAATTCCATGTCATCTGCTCTAATATCTTTACTGTATAATGCCGATTGGATGGCTTCGTCTAACATTTCAGTGTTGCGAAATAGGTATTCGGCAATACCCCTTTGATGATAAAATTTTTTTTAGTAAGGTTAATTTTAGGGAATGATAATTCTAGGAATATGTGCTTACGTCCAAAGTCGAAATAGAGGAGTTTGGCAAACCATATGTTCATATGGTCTAATTCCGGACCTATACCAACAATCCACCTTTTAATTTAGCAAAATCTTGTCTTTAATTTCTTCATACATGAGAATTAGATAAATCGAATTCACGAGTGTAATGTAACGCAGACCATTGCCAATAACGACAAATGTGAATTTGGTTTTCTCTGAGATTTTGGAACGCTCGATAATGAGAATTCATCTAAGAGAGAGTCCGACAGCAATATCGGTTCTCGCGGTGAATCCGTAAATTTACCAAAAACATATTCACCCGCCTATATTTCGCAGACCAACAAGATAATTGAGTGGAAATGCGAGTGAAAATCGCAGCCGAGCATTTAATTAATTTACCATTTTCACGCGATTCGTAAATTCTTCTTCTTTTTCCTGAATCATTAACTTAAATAAATCTGACACAGACTGCGCATATTGTTTAACCTGTGACCTGGCTTTTGGATTCATGATTGCCAGTCCTGAAGATATAAATACAAGAGAATTAGAATTCTGCATCAAAGGTTGAATTGCAAAATTTAGAATTAACCTGACCAGCGTAAACGTGCCACTTATTTGAGTAAATTCGCATTGCCATGTGAACCTTGACATTCTCTATTCCACCAGTATATTGTGGTGTTTCCCACTATCATGGAAACCAAAATTAGGATAAATCTTTTTGTTAGAAAGGTGAAATAAAACTCACTGGAAATTGTTTTTGAGTTTTCCAAGCGGTTCCCATGCTAATTCACACGAAATGTAAAATTCATTAAGCAGGAATATAATTTTTTGTGATCTAACGGATGGAAACGTGTACCTTAAGAAAGCTACGTGAGTCACAGCCTGGGTATCAGCCGTAATGCGATCATGTTCTTCGTATGTCAATTCTACGATCTGTGATTCTAAACATGATAGCACACGAGTAGAGACACCGAATTTCTCTGGAGAAGCCCGATAATTGATCATGACCTTTCGTTTTAACAAAACATGCACCCATAAACATCACGTGTAATTTCACGTGTCAAGCATAGCTTTCATAAAAGAAATATATAATATATATAAAAACCAATGGCTGCCCCCGGGAGTCTACGGTAGGCCCATGTAGAGAATGACATGAAACTATGTGAATATCTTCGGGGAGATATTTCTCGAAAGCTCGTATCTCAGGTTCTTTAACCGACGTCTGATTAGAGTCAAATTAATAATTCACGGTCAGTTTCTAAAGAGTACCCGGTAGGGTAGAATAAAATTCGCTTACCTGACCAGCTACAATGGCACCAAGTTTCGTAGCTATCAAAGAAATACCAATTTAGAATTTAGAATGAATGCGTACTGCAATGATCACCTTTACTTACAAGGTCCATACATTGCAACCACCTTATCGATATTTTCAGCTTCGACGGAATAAATTATGAAATCGCTTCGCCTTGATACGGCATACCCGTCACGAAGCACATTTAAGCCAGAGTCTAAATTTCATTTTTAACCGAGAACTCTTATTTTCGAAAGAAAGAAAAAAAAAGATACAATACAAATTTTACGATATCGAATATCTTCAACCTTTTAATTGTTCTTTTAAACGATCGTAATGTACGGGCAGGTCACACACATTTACTCTAGATTCGAAAAACCAACTGGATTATTTGTATCATTCGATAGGATACTCAACGGTTTAAATATATGTATGAACCTTTTCCACCCAGCCTTCACTATCCTCTTGGCATACATTAAACCCATATCCCCCAAACCTATCAACCCTATCTCTAGAGTCTCCTTTTCGCTCTCAGAAGTTATCATGGTGCGTACAGAGAAGTGCACTTCAGCTCAAAGCCTCAATGTTAGAGTGGCTTTTATGCGCATGTGGCTTTTTTCAAGATAGTAGATAATCAATACCATCATGACGCGTTCCATGGAAATTTCCAAATTTGGAAACCAATGACTATCACTCTGTAAAGAAAAGAATGACAGTATGACAGGGAAAGCACAATTCAATTTTTGGTATTAAAAATAAGTTTAAATTTTATTTAACTTCAAAGATATAAATAAAGTTTGTTTAATGAGAAAGTGTATAACTTTTGAGGTTTCACTCCATCGGTTTCCTCATTAAAATAAAGAACATCGGAGTGAAGATTCCCCTCTCTCCACCCTCTACCAAGGCGTCAGCTGTGTTGTTAAGTATACTTGCCACCTCGGTAGAACCGGGTGCAACAATATGAAGACACTCGAGTCCGTAGACAAATTTATGAGTTAACCTTTAAAATCAAACATATTTAGTAATTTTGAAGTGACTCAGAAGAAAAAGACAGAATATCGAGTAAATACCATCTTCCGATACGAGTCATCCTAAATCCACTCAAAGAGAATCCTCCTTGCAAAGTATAATACCAAGGTAAATGATATTCGGATAGGGTGGAGGGGGACAAATCTTCATTTTCGAGCACTTCGAAGCCGACATTTTTTGCGGCTTCGAGTGCCTGTTTGTAAGAGCTTAAGGAAGGAACCGAATTACCCTCCTAATTAACATCAAATTTCAGGATGCAATTATTGATCAAAGACCGCATTGTCGAAATAGATCAAGGCACAAAGAGCAGATACAAACCTCAATACCGTGAATGATGCGAACATGTTCTGGGTCATTTTCGTCGTAATTTGGTGTGGTGACCCATTCATACGAGGCAAAGAGGCCT